GTTGCTGGCCTTCAGCGCCCCCGCCCATACTGGGCACCCGTAAATGGCCATGGACCGCACAACCCCCGAGTGGAGTCTCCTGCAGGAGTCATTGGGTCCCTTCATGTTGGGCAGCAGCCGCGCCAACGCACGCGCTGCCCCAACCAACTTGGGGACCAGACCTCGGAAATGATTTCCGAAGTCCCATCGGCCATCGAGTACGAGACCCAGATACCTGATCGAGGGCTCGATGCCGATGCGAGTGCCTCCTACCGTGAGGCTAGATCCCTCAGGCGGCTTCCTCCGAAGCCCGTGGAAGAACCTCCTTCGTGGGGCTCGGACTTGTGCAGAGCCACCTCGAGACCCAGCCGCCGGATCCGCTCAACGACTTGGGCAACCCCGGCCGTGGCCCTCAGGGTTGCCTCGTGGTGCGTCTTGCCGCGCGCCGTCACGAGTGTGTCGTCCGCGTAGCACACGACGGCGACACCATCCAAGAAGGCACCACGAAGCACCCAGTCGTAGCCGATGATCCACAAGAGTGGCCCTAACACCGACCCCTGAACACCGCACGACATTTCACGCCTACCGAGACCGGTCCTACTGGGGTAGACGACGGCTCTCTCCGACAAATATGCCCCGACTATGCGGCGGAGGTAGAGAGGCACTTCGTGATACACGAGCGCCTCCCTGATGCAGCTCCAGGGCAGAGTGTTGAAGGCGTTGGCGATGTCCAAGGACACCGCCAACACCACTTCGCCCCGGGAAACTGCTTCCTCCGCCAGAGCCTTCACGCGCATGATTGCATCCACGGTGGAGCGCCCCTGAAAGAAACCGTACTGGTTGTCCGCCAGATCCGGCCCCACCATCACGAGATGCTTGACGAGGCGCCTTGCAATCACTCTTTCAAAGAGTTTGCACACCTCGTCAAGCAACACTATGGGCCGGTAGGCGGACGGTGAGTCCGCCGGGCGCCCCTCCTTTCGGATGAGATGACCCAACCATCGCCGCTATGCAGCCCCGTCCCCTTGCACCCACTGCAAGAGGTGGAGTGCCGGCTGCGGTACCGTGCACCAGTACCGTCGTGCCGTCCAAGTCGGTCTCCCAGGCAGGCCCGAGAAACCGATGGACATATGGCTCGGCGACAGCGGCGATGTTGATGGACCACTGTGCCATGCTCTGGAGCAGAAGATCCTGAGCATCGGCACCGTGGCCTACGTTCACCTGGAGGATGCAGAGATGTGAATCCATCACTGGACTTCCATCCGAGCATTCCGCAGCGAACTTTGCCGCTCTCCAGCGGCACCCTCCGTCTGGATCAGCGGCCCGGAGGCGGGAGGACGGCCTCCCGGCTTCGGTCCCGATAGGGCACAGGCCTTACCACCAACCCGGTGGTCGGCAGGCTTGCCCCCCGCTGCGCACCTAAAGCAACGCAGCGGAGCGTTGCAGCCACCCGCCTTGTGACCGGGCTGGCCACAGCGGAAGCATCGATCACCTACGGTGGCCTCCGCCGTGCAGTGCACCCCTACGTGCCCCACCGACAGGCAACGGAAGCACCTTGCCGGTCGGGCCTGCAGGAGTCGTGCCTGCGCCCTTAGGAAACCTCCGACCAGGAGGCTCCGTCCATCGGCGACCTTCTGGGCCGCCGCGATGGGGCAGGTAGCTGACACCCTGCATTAACGCATAGGCTACTTTTTATGAAAAAAAATCTGTCCTCCCAGGGGATTGAACAAGGGACTGAAATACATTAATAAACCACGGGTAATACCGCGAGGCGCAACTAATAATCATCCAAATTCAATAGTCTGTGTCAAAAACCTTTATGAACCTTCACACGAAGTTTGGTAGTTTTGTACAATTGAATGAAACTGCAATTAGAATCTAAATTCTCTTAGTTGGCAATAAGCAGCAGCTATCGACAATATCAACATAGATCTTAAATCTATCAAAAACTGGTCTGAAAGGTTTGGTCGGTCAACCCGATAAGGTGTCAGGCCATAATAATCGGCAGTCAGCGTTCGAAGAAAAAAGTTAGTTTTGAGACGCACCCCAAAATAATTTTCAATGATACCACTATACCAAGGCACTATACAACTCGACTGTACTCTGAACTGGCGCGATCAAGTCACATACGAATGCCAGAGGGTTACCGGCATTCTCAGAACATTATATCACCTGAAAAACTTTCTTCCCGTGAAAACTAAGACTGCGCTCGTGCAATCTCTTATCTTCCCTTTAATCGAATACGATGACGTGTGCTATTATGACCTGAATGCAGATCTTCTCAACAAGCTATTATCAATAACTGCATTAGATTTATCTTTAATCCTCGTAAGTATGACCATATCTCTCCGTTTTCTTTCCCAGCCAAGATGGTTACCTATTCGTCAAAGCAGGAAAATGCGCGCACTCATAACTATGTACACTATCCTCAATTTCCCTTCCTCGCCTACTTACTTAACAATACAATTTCAACTGTTATGCAATAACCACAACAGAAACCTTCGTTCGGCCAACAATCACCATCTACTCTGTCCTTCTCACACCACTGGGTTTGTCGGCTCTTCGTTCTTCGTCCAGGTCCAGGTCAGGTCCTCTTGTGTAATGCGCTTCCTCTCGAAGTCAGGATGGCCACAAATCGGAACTCTTTTAGTACGAAAGTGAAAGAGCTTTTAGTTCATCGCCTAAAATTATTATATATTTTTTTATAATATGAATATTTCTGTGTATGTGTGTGTGTGTATATGTACTTTTATATATAAGATAGTTGATAGTTTCTAAGATAGTTGGTATTTAAGAAAACCTCTATCATTTATTACCCCCCATAAATGCACCTACCTCATTCTTTCTCAGCATCGCCCAATCGGTCGACTGGCAGAGAATGCCTTAGTCAATAAGACCGCCGATGCATGTACTTGTGCAAGTTATAAAAAAAAAACAATAACATTAACAAAAATGAATGACTGCTCCTCCCTCTTGAGAGTCAGATAACCCAAAGTCAATTTGGGTTTATGCCAGGACGCGGGACAACAGATGCTATATTTGCAATGCGCCAACTATGTGAGAAATACAGGAGTGCGCACAAAAACTTGCATTTAGTGTTTGTGGATCGCGACAAGGCATATGATAGGGTACCCCGAGAGGTTTTGTGGTGGGCTTTGAAAGAAGAAAGAGTGCCTGTTAAGTATGTAGAATTGATTCGTGCTATGTACAGAGAGTCTAGCACTCATGTAAGGTCGGTCACGGGAAACACTGATCAATTCAGTGTCTCTGTAGGCTTGCACCATGGGCTTGCCAATACCTCTTCCTGTTGATAATGGATGCTCTGACATCGGACATACAAGAGGAGGCACCTTGGTGCATGCTATTTGCAGATGACATTGTGTTGGTCGGTGAGGATGGGGTTGAGGTCCAGAGCAGACTGGAAAAATGGCAACAAAGGCTTGAGAATGTTGGCTTGAACATCAGCAGAACCAAAACTGAGTACATGTTCTGCGATTTCGGCGGTCTCTCCAGTCCTGAAACCATTTCGCTGGATGGGATAGCGATAACAGTCTGCTCCAATTTCAAAGAACAACGGCGAATTAGTAGTTGAGAGTATTTTGAGCGTCTTAAAATGTCATTCATAGGAAACTAATTCTATTTTTTTCTTATATTAATTATTCTAATTTTTGAAACTATCATCTAAGTCAGTATAACCCCTGGATAAAGAAAAATATTAAAGGCTTATTTGATTGTTTTAATTTCCTTTTATTATTGTATTTTTATGGCCTGATAACAAGACCTTTAAGCCAAGTCTTAATTTTTGAGATTCTAGGCGGGAATTTGAACTGCCTAAAATCTTCCGCCCTTTCAGTTCCGTTTTAATTTCCTTTATCAATTTGGTGTTACCATTTAACAGCCCTGTTTTTCAAGTAGTGGAAATACTGTCCAATAAAGTATCATGATATGGTGATCACTTAATAGTAAAATGGTAATTAGATAATAGTTTTATAATTGTAAGTAGTGAATCAATAAAGAATATAGTTTGTGGTGCATTATTAAATATATAATAAATATAAGGAAGTAAAAAAAAAAAAGTAGTAACTGCAAGCTGAAAAAAGCAAAGGTTTTTTGACAACTCTTGACAGATGTTTGCGCTCTGTGTTTGAATATAAAGACTAAACGTCTGACGCAAGGCTTTGACACTTCATAGATTGGCTTATGACTATGTACATATCTCCTAATCTGTGGTCTGACGCGCAGGCGGCGAATGGTCGCCGACGATTTTATTAGTTTAGGTTCAGAATTTACAATTCATTACGTGTCGAAATAGGTAATAAATTAAGAAAAAGGAATATACTTATTGGATATTATATATGCAGATGTACATAAGTATCAGATGATTATTTCATGCATTAGACACATTAAAGTGACATAGACACATCAGAAGTCGAAAACCATAGGCAAATTGATAAAATAAAGAAAACATTATGCAGCTATGTTATAAAAGACTTATGTTTGGACTCTTTTAAAAAGAGTCCACAGATAAAAAATGCAGTTCGTAACTAAAAAAATCAAATGCTAATATCTTTTTTCTCACCCTTTTCCAAACAAACATTGTTTTACACATAGATTCTAAAAAAATAGCCGAATGTTTTATTTATTTTTTTACTACAAGACGGTTTAATTTGATTCCAAATATTTTTTGGTATGGAGACCCACCATTGTTCTTTTGTGCTTAGGGTCCCTTTTCGTTAGTGGTTTTCTGATGGTTTTAAATGTAGAATCTGGTGGAGACTTCATTTAATTGTTGGCGACACTGCTATCCTATCTGTCAAGTCTGTATTGTCTTGTCAAACTGTCAAAGTCATACTACTGTATCAATTCAGTGTGGTGGGATTGTTTTTATATTTATTTCTCACCTCGGATAAGAAAAAGAATAAGATATACTATTATAATTTTGTTGGCGACATAATGAAGACCCGTTTAAATGTTCGCATATAACTTACTTGCCAAATCTACTTTAGACCTTAACGTGAAATATGTCTCGAATATTTTTCCTGCAGATATGTTTTCTGTTTTTATATTCTAGAGTTGAGACTTCCGATGAAGTCAAAAATAATAGAACAGAGACCGTAGATTGCAGCACACTGAGGCTAGGTCAATATATTTGTCCACACCCCCAAAAAGACCAAATAGATCCAGATACTCAACAGTTTATAGGATGCATGAAAGGGAAGGAAATTCCATCAGAAGGGGAAGCAGATGGTGAGGTTTATTTGATTCCGTTATATATTTTGCAGTGTGACATAATTCGAAAAAGTATTATATTAATTTAGTTTTATTAATGCTTCCAGTTATATGTTTGGCAGCTGATGAGATAAAATGCAATGAGACGGGTAACTCAACATTTACAAGAAGGCTACCATGTAAATGGACGTAAGTATTGTGTGTGTTTATTACATTTTGCTCCATGCTTATATAATTTTCCAGAATAAATAGGTTTTACAAATCTATAGAGGCACTTAATATTAATACTCTGTTACACTTACAGAAATGGTTACTCGTTGGAAATTGCTCTGCTGCTGTCAGTGTTCTTGGGCATGTTTGGTCTAGACCGGTTCTACCTTGGCTATCCTGGTATTGGGCTCGCCAAGCTCTGTACATTGGGTTTCATGTTCCTTGGACAATTGCTGGACATAATACTTATTGCTGCACAGGTCAGTATATAACATAGTGTTGTGACTTTACCACAAACTGTTGTATTTTAAGTCACATTACAAATTTCCGTTTCTTACTCTTGAAGAAGTTTGAGGTCCAAGTGTAAAAGAAGGTTGGGTAGGATAAAAGTATTTGATGTTAATTTTACAACATTAATCACTTTCAAATTGGAATAGAAACTGACAATATTTTTTAGTTTGTATGCCAATTTGAATATATTTTATTTTAAATTAGTTAAAAAACCAAAAAAAAAACATTGTTGTTTGTGGTCACTTTGACTGCTACACCTAAAATGTTTTCTTTTATGCCATTATGTTGTACAAATAAGATTAATATATTATGTTAAATTATTAAGGTGGTGGGGCCCTCAGACGGGTCGGCTTATGTCATCCCATACTATGGAGCTGGGATCACTGTTATACGAAGTACCAACGAGACCTACCTGCTACCTCAGGCAGACTGGCACAACATCACCTGACAGTGGGGAACAATATCTTTTGAGGAAGATGAGGATTATGAATGGACATAATATGTTGTGTGGTGAACCTAACTCTCATGGTCTCACTGTGTTTTCTTTTATTGTAAATAATACTGAATAATTTATAGAATTGAAATTATGACTTTGTATAAAAAAATCGGAATAAAAGTGTCTAATATATATGTCAATAGCTGTTAATGTATTGTCAATCATGTGATGATCCCATTCTCTAAAGGTTTTGTATTTACATAATTATATACCTACTCTGAAAATCTGCTATCAGTATACCTAATAAAATAAGTTTGAAAACGAAATTAAATTTCTGTGCATAAAAATGATTATATATAGGTTACATAGGTACTTAAATTTATTTTTATAAATTGTCATCTTGTAATGAATATTCATAATGTTTGTAAGAATTTTGTCTGTAGATTACTTGCTAACTAGATCCATGTGTTATGTAGCCATTTCTATCATGTGATTTATGATTTAATCGTAAATTCAGAGGGAAAATACAAATTTGACTTTTTTAAAAGACAACTGCCGCACTAAGATTATATACTGTGTTGTGGGAAATTTAACTAATAATATACATACAACGGACGCATGACACCGGGACTGAGAACAACAATTTGTTGACGACACAAAATGCAGTAGGAAGCGGCGAGGTGACAGCTTATACTACCATGCTATCCATGCAGTCAACGTGTCGTGTCTACCTCCTACACAGCTGCTTATCATAAAAAGCTATGTCATTTAGTCTTAAAAACGTGGCAAATAAAATACATTCTTAAGAAACTCAATAGTTGTATTAAAGTGCAATTGTTTCGATTCATGTCTTAAGAAATATTTATATAATTTTTATATAAGTAAAATAATTTCTTAAATTAAACGATTATTTTAAAATGAACCATTGAAACTATTAATCAATGAAATGATAGGAGTTTAAAATGCAATTTAAATTCATCAAGTTTTTCATTTATTGAATTTCTAGACACTGACTGCGCAAATTGATTATAGATGTTTCTTTCAACAACAATTTTCTGCTGATTAATTTAGAGGCGTAGTTTTGGAATTCGCGGAATTTTACACCGAATCCACACTTGCCGAGAAAATTGGGTTAATTTCTCATCTCATATACGCGGCAGTAAATATTGGTAAATTAACATTTGATATCCAGTTATCGACTATATAATATAATAGTCAAAATGAAAAATAGATTTGAAACTGTTCATCTAGCCCAATAGATTGAAGCGTTTAACTTGGATCTCGAAAGTGGAAAGACTTTCATTTATATGTAATTATGAGGCAATTCTTCGAATTGATTGAACACTTCTAGGGGCAGAATGCTTAATTATGAAAAACATCTTAAAGAATGTCACAAGTGAAGTCCTCAGGGAACACGTTAAGCAAGATTTATGACCAAATCTTTTAAAAATAATTCAAGCTACAATTGTGATCACTAGTCCACTCGACTGGATGCGAGCGCCCAGGAGATCTACTAATCTCACCATGAGAAGAGAGATTCTCAAACACTATTCTCATTCATACGTTTTAATTTCTTGCAAACGTAAATTAAAGTTGGTGTAAACAGTTGATACTAGGTACTCTTGTAAACAAAATAAAATAATTAAATAAACATGAAAAAAAATTCTTGTCATTTATTTATGTGACTCGTAGTTTGTCGTAAGTATCTACATAATAGCTATTCAAAAACAAAATTAGCATTGTAGTTAAGACTGTATACATTGGGTAGGTATACACTGCTTCATCCCATTGGCCATGTCTGCCACCTGAAAAATCCTTAATAACCCAAGATACGCCAATGGATTACTCGTAATTTCATTACGGGTTCCAAGACAGTTACATTTTTTCCTGGATCTTCCGGGATGTCATATCACTGTTCATCGGTCACTGCTGTGGATCCTGGTGTACAGGAGTTACACTTACCTCTTGTTTGTATATAATATCATTATTACCCATTTGTTACTCGTGAAACCCGCTATTTGCAGAAGTGAAACCGATGGTGAACACCATGGTGGTGACGGAATTCTACCTAACTAAAATAATAAGCACGCTTGTGAACTTGAACTGACAGTGAAGCAAATAGAATGAAATAAGAAATAAGAATGAATATGTCTCTGTATCGGGAAAGCTATACTATGGCAAAGTTTTATGGTTCCCATTATTTTCGTTAAAGCTAGATGGATGAATAATACAAACTTTATAAAACGCAATTGTTAGAGGAAGAAAAAAACAATAAACTATTAAAAACAAAACATATTTACTACAATTAAACTACATACAACATACATATTAGTATTTACAGTGAGGTATTCTTTTTTTCAGTTTTATTGCCTTCAGTTGCTGGTTGAGTTTCTTGCACCGCTATGTCATTAGATGGTGATGTAAGTGTAAATATAACTGGGATGTTACGTAGCACAGGGTTATCATACTTTTCTAGCAGTCTAATCCAAGATAGTAATGAGTCCCTTGATGATGTACCTGAAATGTGTGAAAATAATGTAAATGTTTATTTTTGATTTTCAGTTTATACTACACTCGGTTCTAAAACTTACGGGTCAGTCACAAAAATTTAAATACCTCCAGAACTGTAAAAGTTAGATCAATGAAATAAAAAACAGAATAAAGACTTTTTAGTTGCGCTTCTAACAGCATATTATTTAAACTGGTCGATGAAAAAAACTTCATTAGAAAAACAAAATTTAAAAAAATGACTATTATTTAAAAACAAAATTTGTTTCATTTCATTATAAAAATTAACGTGAACGTCTTCCACGTGCATAATTATTATTCTGTAAGGTGAAGCATGGCAGTCACGCTAGAGGAATGTACCAGAATCCTAACTTTTTTGGAACTTGGGCGGAGCCAGCGTGAAACAGCCAGAAACAATGACAGACCAAGATGCACAACGGCCAGGGAAGACAGACAACTGGTGGCTAAAATGCTCCGAAATCGTTTTCAAACTGCTGTTGGTCTAAAAACTCACTTTATTTGCTTTGTAGGTGGCAATTTAAGCGCTCAAACAGTAAGAAGACGTCTTGCTGAAGCAAATTTGAAACCATTGAGGCCCGCAAATGGCCCCAAACTGGAACGGGGACATCGAATTGCAAGACAGAGATACGTGCGCGAGCACCTAAACTGGACACTAGACGATTGGTCTAGGGTAATGTTCACGGACGAGTCTAAATTCATGCTTTATAAGCATGATGGTAGGTAGTTGGTGTACAGAAGACCAGGGGAGCGCTTCCATCAAGCGTGTGTGGAGGAAAAAGTGGCGTACGGTGGAGGCTCCGTACAAGTTTGGGCTGGGATTTCTACTGAGGCCCGCACCGAGCTGGTACTCATTCAAAATGGAACTCTAAATGCAGAGAGGTACGTGGAAGAGATCCTCAATGAACATGTAGGTCCTTTCATGGCCAGGATGGACCGGCATGGCATATTAATGCATGATAATGCGCGTCCCCATACCGCCAGAATTGTACATGACTACCTTGAAGAGGTCGGTATCGAACTCATGCAGTGGCCAGTGCGAAGCCCGGACTTAAACCCCATCGAGCACGCCTGGGACGAGCTTCAGAGATGCGTGAAAGGTCGAAACCCCCCACCCATCACGCTTCCCGAGCTCAAACAAGCACTGGTGGAGGAATGGGAAGGTATTCCTCAGCACCGGCTCCGAAATTTAATGTACAGCATGCCTAATCGCCTGGAAGCTGTCAGAAGAGCTCGTGGAGGCAATGCAAAGTATTAAATGAAGAAAGTGATGAAAAACAGCAAAAAAAACAATCATAAAAAAATGTAATCTTAAGAAAAATATGACTACTTTAGTTTTTTTTTTTTAATTTAGAGATAAGTTAAGAGTTAGAGAGTTTAGGTTTAAGTTTTATTTTATTTTTTATCTGTATAATTAAATTCTCAATTGAACAGTCTTCGTTTCATTAGGATGGCTTACATAGTTCGGGAGATATTCGGGTTTATGTGACTGACCCGTTATTTTTGGAACCGAGTTTAGTTATGTTTGCCGCTATATCGATTGTGTCTACATATTTATTGCTTGCGCTGAAATTTAATTATTTTTCCAAAACTAAGGTAGCTTAAGTAATTCATACTAATTCCAGCTATTTGCCTGCAGAAGTTCCAGGGAGATTGGTCATGTCATTCTGAAGATTAATCAGAACAAACAGACATGCAAAAATGTTTTTTTGCTAGTTACAATAAATAATAAATATTTGAGACATCTAATACACAACGCCATCTAGTTTCAAACTAAGTAGAGCTTGTACTATGAAAGCTATATTGACTGATAGAATACTTATATAGATTTTTTTGGCGTGGTGTAGTAGGCCACAACCTCTTTTCTAAAGGGAGGCCTATGTCCATCAGTGGACTTTTAAAGGCTGTCGATGACGACAGAAACCTCATCAATCACATCAGTCGCATATGCTACCTAGTGCACCAATGAGGCAGTCAAGTATAGTCAATAATAAAATAAAAATTCAGATGTATTTTTTTTTGTTTTCTAATCTACAACGCATTAGGAATATGATTCTGTGTTCCAGGGGACTTTACAGACAAACATGAAACAGACACAAAGAACACCCAGACTCAGAACAAGAATTTGTGGATCACACAAAGTAATGTCCCATGTGGGGATTGAACCCACAACACTTAGTGCTTCCCGTAGTTGCTTACCCTATCTTTGCAGTGTTTGGTAAAATGCTGTTATTATAACACTAGACAGAATTCAATTTTATTATTTTACATAAAACGGCAGAAGTATAAATTATACTCATGCACATCAATAATTTCTAAATTTTATAATAGGATCTTAAATTAATGTTTAATGTACTAAATAATATTTATTACCTGTGGCACAAATAGCCACAATAGTGCCATTATCTTGTTCATGTACTGTTGTGTGTCTAACAGCAGGCAACTTAGGGGTGCCAATGACACCAGGGATACCAGGAGGTTTTTCTATATTTGAGACATCTGGAAATTTGTTAGAAAGATTAGTATAGTAGTAGTAGTAGTAGTCTTGAGAGCATCTTTTTAAGTTTGGAGTGGGCACAGTAAGTATGATCTTCTATTCTACTCTATCAGGCCTCATCTCACTGTTTACTCCTTTCTTAGCCATATCCTCACTCACACAGTCCATCCACCTTTTCTTTGGTCTTCCTCTTCTCTTGTACCCTTCTACTCCCATATCTAAAACTTTCTTTGCCACATTACCACATAAGATAACCTGTTACTTTTTAACTTTTCATCCAGTGGTGCTACTTTCAGAATCCCTAGTATTTACTCATTCCTAACCTTGTCCATTCATGTAACACCACACATCCATCTCAGCATTCGTATTTTCGGCTACATTCAGGCATCTCTCATCCATTCTCTAATGGGCCAACAAGTGATACAGAAGTATACAATACAAATAGATTTTGAGCAGCATGACACAATTTTTTATATTCAAAATATATTAATTAAAAAGAGTAAGAAACATTAGTGCATACTTGCATTAGTGATAATGTGTGTGTGTGTGTGTGTGTGTGTGTGTGTGTGTGTGTGTGTGTGTGTTTGTGTGTGTGTGTGTGTGCATGTTCAGTAATATAAATAATTTAGAATTTATCTTACCATCGTCATCTGTATTATCTTTAAATTCAGGTCTAGTCTTTCCTATCAACATAAAGTAGCTTACTACTTGGTCTCTTAGGTACACATCAAAGGGTCCCTTCACCACCAAAGGTTCTTCGTCAGGCTGCTCCGATAACAACACATGTTGTGCTTCACTCTGTGCACTAACCACCCAGGTCTTATCCAGACAAGCTTCTATTTCTTCTGTCTAACAAAAGTTACATGAAAGGAGATTGATTACTGCCAATTATTAACATTTACATGTACGCATACTATTTCATCATCATCATCATCAGCCTTTCGCAGACCACTGCTGGACATAGGCCTCTGCCATTGCACACCACTTAGATTGATTTTGAGCTTCTAAACTTTTTACTTCTTATAACCTATTTACTATAAACTAATTACCTATTTTACACAGGTAATTTTAAGCTCTAATGGTTAACTCAGGGCCTACTAATGGTTTCACTTTCTATGCATTATACATGGTATAAAGAGTTCATGAACCAGATGAATCGTGATAATAATAATGGTGCACTTGCACTTTGATGGGTTGTCAGTTCTTTTTTATTTTGATAAGGTTTTGTAGTGTGTAACAATGAAAACTATGTTATTTAAAAGGAGCAAAGCTTTCACCTGCCAAATACTAATTTTAGTATCTGGGTCCACTGATGTTATCCTCTGAATAGCCAATGTGGCCAGCTCCAATGTGTCGGCAGGCAAACTATCTGGCAAGAACCATGGAGATAGGTTTTTGAATTTTGGCATCCAGTACATGATACGCCAGAATTTGCGAAGAGGTATTCCTCGTTTTCCAAACACATTGAGAAGCATTTGTTCCATCTCCGAATCTGGCATTACTTCTGTACTTTCAAAGAAAACATTATTATTAGCGTTGTTTATTTAGCTTAAACTAAGTATGCAGCTGTGCAGATAAGAACTATAAGCAATTTAAAATGAAAACGGTAAGTACTGTTATCTTCCATTTGTTCAAGTAGGTCAACAGCACATTGCTGTTGCTTAGGATAATGCATAAATTCTGCCTGAAATATATTTTGAGGTATGAACTTTCCCTTCGGTAGTACATCCACTAAGGCCTTATACACCTCAAGGTCCTTTTGAACTCCAAATTCTTGCATTTTAGCAAGAGCGGCATAAATAAATTCAACATGACCGCGTCTTCTAGTGTCCTGACCCTCAAATATTTTAATGGCCTCTAAATAGGATTTTTTAGTCTTTTTAGGCAGAGAATCAAATGGGTCATACACTGCTAAACGTTTCTCCGTACTTGCCCATCGCATAAATAACATGACAGATGGTTTTATTCGTGAAAGATTTGCTAAAAAATTATTTGCCATTCTATAGGTTATTTTAGAATGTTTATATGCACATATCATTTATATTTATGTTTGTATTAAGAGTTGCGGTTTCCCTAACCGGTTTTTATTGAATGTCACAAAAATTTTAAGAAATTAATAATATCGCCCCAGACCATAACTTTAAAATAATATAATAATCGTAATCCTGGCTTCAGGCTCAAATATCAACAACTGTCAGACTGACAGTGTCAGTGTAATTCTTAATTTTTAATGACACCATGGATAAAATGTTGCTAAGGTTAAAATGATTACAGATTTCAAATATTTTTTTCTTATAGAAGGGCATTTACCTAACTTGAGCTTTTTCATAATATATCGTGGTATTCGGTATCTTTTTTATTAGTTGTTGTTTTTCTATAATCCCGTAAAAAAATCACTTCAAAATAGGTATTTTGAAGTGATTTTTTTATTTTTTATATAAAAAATAGGACAGACAGGTGTCTGTCCTATTATTTATTATCTTTCGTAGTTCTATCTTGAAGTATTGGAGGTTTAATTAAATCTCTTTTTTCAAGCAAAAATGTACTATTTTATAATGTAACAAATAAACTATTTTCTTTCTTTTCTTTTTTCTCCCAATTTGATTACAGTGAAGCAGAATAATTATAAGTACTCACTCATAGAGTTCACTTAAAAAGTTTGCCACATGTAATAAAACGAATGAGCTGAAGCAAAATCAAAGTAAATGTCATTTATTTGATTTTGCTTCAGCTCATTCGTTCAGCCTTTCTATTTCCCGCCTTGCCTCGTGGATGGGATTTCATTCGTTCTTTTAAATTAGTTAAACTTGTAATGCGCGTGTCGTTGGATGTGTTGAGCTAAATACATTCAGATAACGTATTTAAATACGAATTTTATCTAGTTTGTTGCTACGGTTAAGTCATTAGAGTTTTTCTTTCATTCTCTTTCTTATTACAAAAGTACTGTACAGAAATAAGTGTGAAAGCTAAAACTTGAATTATAAAACTATTTATTTATGCATATCTGAACTATAAAACTTTAAATCAGTTAAAAGAAAGTGATTTAAGACAGTTATTCAAGATGATTGAAATATTTAAATTAAGTTGTGTGCTCGTAGTTGTCTCACTAAGTGCCACCGGTAAGATATTTTTAATTTATATTTTTTCTTAAGTTTTAGCCTTCTAGGTGAAGTAATTGCTAAAAAATAAATTATCAATACACATTATATTTGAGTATGGTTTAAATTAAAAATAACAAGGGAATGTACCTTGCAAGCTACTTCCAATAAGTTGGAGAAGATTCATTGTTTTGTTTTATTTCAAGGTTAAGAACAAAGTAAATTGCAAGACATACCTACATACATCGTTATTTAGTACTACTTAAAATACTACATGCCGACTACTATTCGTGACGAATCTTGAATATAATGTTACTTCAGTTTTAATTTTTTTACTCGTTATTCCTTAATGGCAACATGTATCTGTTAATAAAATTAACATAGTCGTACGAACATAAATTTATGCTTACAATTTTGTCATGAATATCGGTGACTGTTAATTTGGTGGTAGTAATGGATAAACATACAGTGTAATTTAGTTTTTCATTGAACATTTGATCTTTAGATTAGATTAGAATACCTCCGAGTAGAAAGTAGTTTAAAACACTGTATTTTGTAGATAAAGTACCGTAAAAAAGTAATAGGTACCTACCATAAGATATCACATTAATTTATCATACAATATACATACATACCTAGTAAGGATTTTCACCTACTAGTCGAATTTGAATAATTTTCTTCTACTCGAGTCCAATTTTTAACGAAAGCCACCTATTTAATTAAGGTTACCATCCTTAAGAATCAAGCAGTGATGATAAATGCTCGTGAAACGGTAGGGTACTTCTGTAGTTTTTAGTTAAATACAATTTGAAATTAAAAAACAAAATATTACATAAACATTTTTGAATAAATAAATAATTCAGTTTATTTTACGCTTTTGAGTGTTTTAGGCCAGGAGTTTTGGTTTCGTGTTTTTTTTTAAGCCGATTTTTTTTATAAAATTGTGTTTGTGACAACCCTTGCGACAACATTTTTAGTCGAGATAATTTTGTAGGTATTTAGCGGTAGGTCTATATGACATTAGTTAGGATTCAAAGAATACCTAGTCACTAAGTCCCAAGGAAGTTGTGATTTCAGTGTTAATGGATTCTAATGTCAATATTTTAAAGAGCTAATGATGTCGTTGCTTAAAAGTAATATGTTAAATTAAGTTCTGTAAAACGATACTTACTTAATGTTACCATAAATGTATATTATACCATAATTTTTAAAAGTTAGTTTATCTGGTTCAGTTCATCGTTCGCTATCTGTTACTTAAAGCATAATAAGTAGGTAGGTACCTAATGTAAATCTACCAAAATGTATAATTTCCTTTGTAAGTACTCTATTGTTATGAAATTGAGCAATTAATTTAATCGTTATTGTTTAATACAGCTGATAACATCAAAGACAATAATAATCACTGTCTTTGGATAACATTAAAATCTTATGAAACGTACCTATTTAGAATTCATTCCCGCCTAATTTCAGATCTGAGAGAATTTAATAATATACTTTTATGTATCTACGTCGGTACATGAGGGGCGTTTCTGGATTTGTTCCAAGACGACTTGTGCATCAAATGTTTAAAAAAATGTATGTCAACTATTTTTATTGAGATATTAGGTAGGTACTTGTAAAGTAGCTCCAAGACAAATTATTTAATAGTACCAGTAGTATATCTTACTTCATTATGATATATTTAGGTATATCTATAGTTATAGCTGTGGTTCGCACCGGTATACAACGTATCTAATGGCTACAGTGCGATATTTTAACGTAAATTAAACTGTATTGTATTTATCCTAATCATTTTATTAGTCAGCATTAGTATAGCTATTTTTTTTAGTTGTTTATGGCCCGGGGCGTGGTGATGGCGTCTGCGGGCGCGAGTCCAAACACCTACACCGCGCCTGTGACGTTGTCATTCTCACATTAGAAAACTATATCAAAATAAATAAATAAATTGTAAATGTGTAGTCTACCGAAGAAAACACATACATAGATGTTATTTGGTGTCTTTGATTAAATAATAATTATGGTAATAAAATGTGACTATACACATTCTGTGTATTGAATGATTATATCCACTATTTTTGTTCTGGATTTTCACCAATACACTAACACAAATAAAAATAAAAATCATATATAAATTTATGCATTTATATTTTAGTCTAAGCACAGTAAAGATTTTCGCGAAAGTTTAGTTACGACTTGCGTTTCGTAGCTAAATCTGTGGGGCGTTCGGAGATATAGAGATATTCTATTTAAATTTAAAGTCTGGATATCCGCTACAGTTACCAGGGCCCTGTTTTATGAAGCTGACATTTCGACAAATATGTCAAAAATTGATAAAATTGTAGAATTCACGCGATTAAACTGTTTAATAAAAGTTACAATAAATAGTGAAAAGCGTCAAAAATCAACAGGTAAATCTTGACATATTATTATGTAAAGCGCGTTTAATAAACTTCAAAATTTGTCAAAAATCAGTCAAATTATAACTGACAATGGTCGGTGACAATTGTCGGATTGTCGTGAGAATTATGTCGACTTTTGACATATTTCTAATAATCTTATTTTCTGATATATTATTGAATCAATCATTAGTGTAACTTCAATTTTTTGGTTTGATCTTACCATTTCGGGCCTTATTTATGAAAATAAAATTATACTCTTTGCGAAGTTTTGGTGACCAATATGACGCACGATATAAAAAAAATGGAAGGTAATAGCCGAACAATTAACAGAATGAGGTATTTTCAACCTTTGTGATACTGCATGGCAAAATTGGCGCAAAAGAACCATGGTAAGGTTTAGTTCATTTTAACTAGTTTATACGTCATCAATTCGTACGTTTATTTGTTTAGACTGCTACAAACTATATTCTACGGAAGTTTTACATACCCGATTTTTTTCTTTAAAGCAGAAATCTGTAATTGAGAAGCAGAAATTGATTCTGCTTTTTAATGATCCTTGATGATTAAATAAAAATTACTAGATATAAGCTATAACGGAACGTTTAAGTAATTTATCAACACTTGTCATGCTGAATTGTCGTACAATGCTTTTACTTTCAAATTTCAAAAATTTATAGTACTAGAATAATATTATACATATGTAACAATGTATACATATGTAAAAAGAACTTTTAACATAAAGGTTGCAGTGATTTTAATATAAACAATTGTTGTATGTGTGAAATGTGAATTTCAATCAATTTATTATCAATTAAGGTAAATTAAAGTGAATTGATTATGTACTATTTACTACTACAAGTAATTATTTCGTAAATAAAGTGAATTAAATCTTTCTTAATTATTCAGTGTTTCTGAATAATTAAGAAAGATTTAATAATCGTAAAACACATTCATTTCTCCTAAAATGCCCTAGAAATCACCGCTTGAGACTAGTTTCAGCTTGTCTCACGTAAACAAAGATCATGTCTGTCAAAATCTGATCTGATATACCTCAGTAAAGATTTGGACATAAACATGGTTCTAAAATAAGCCTCTCTCGAGTATGGATAGGTGAATTTCGTTGTTAGTGACGTTCAATAATAAAATGTCGAGTTAAAATTAGTTTTAAGACTAGATTTACGACTGAGACACCTTTTAAAATACAGGCCTCACTCTATAAGATTGATCTTCCCAGAGGCATTATAAATACCTGAAAAATGAAAAGCCTTTATTTCAAAAATTATGTATTTATGCAGGGGAGTGGGAAGATTATGAGACACATACATATTGACCAATCAAAACTGATGTTAACAATCTGGCCAGCCTTGACGTGATAGAACAGAACACGTTTGATTGTGACACAACCATGCACCGTTGAATAAGTCAAGGCAAACTTTTCCAAAGCTCTAACCAAGCATAATATATTTTTTTTATCTAAAAGTGCATCTTCGTGGGAATACAAAAATCAATAAATTTAAATGTCATTGTTGATTATGTTGATTACGTAAATAATGTCGGGTTCTTTAGCTCAAATTGATTGGCGAATAAATTGATTTGTACCCACCACACAATGTACGAGTACACCAATTATCGGTTATTCAGCAGTACTTGCGTCACAACACTGTTCACAATGGACTATGCAAATAAAATATATAAAGTCTTGTTTGGTGGTTTAAAAATAAATTATTTATCTTTATGTAGATATTATATTGTATATATAAAGAGGAGGCACACCATTTCGGCGACATATTTGTCTAACCGGTTAACATTAACTTAGTTTCGGTCAATTTAAAAGTCCATATTTTATAATACGAATTCTGCCACTATTACACTTATCATATAAACTGCAACTCTCCTTGCCGATCATATTCATCTTTTGCACTAAATGGTTTCACTTCGAAAAACACGGATATATGAAATCAACGATTTATAATTAAAAGTACCTAATAGGAATCATATAAATTGTTTTCTCCGTCATCATCAACAGCCTTTAATAGTTCACTGCTGGTCATAGGCCTCTCCGTAGAAAGGAGGTTTTGGGTCTACTGTAGCACGCTAGCGTGACGGGCTGATACACGGCAGAGGACTTTGTTTTACAATATCTAGAAACCTTTGCAGCTTTATTTTATAATTTAGGATTTTTTAGAGATCGCTGATGTCACGTAATTATATTCAAGTCTAAAAAAAATGTAATAAAAGAAAAGAATTATATGAATTTTATTTGACGATAAGAGGGTTAAGTATTTATATTGACAGCATAATAGTTACCCGTGTGGTGACGGATTAAGAATACGGAGTATCACCACCCCTATTCATCCCGTGGGTGTCGTAAGAGCCGACTATGGGAGAAAACTACGCAGAACAACAGCACTGCAGGAAGAATAGAAAAATAACCAACCCTCCAAGTAGGCCAAAACCTCCTTTCTAAGGAGAGGCCTATGTCCAGCAGTAGACTATTAAAAGCTGTTGATGATAATGTGGTGTGTAATTATTAAAATGGTCGATCTCCCATTGCTATATCCTATTTAGGACCATAAATAATACATACTACATATAAATTAAATATGATAATGACATACATGA